CTCCTAGTTGGACTTCTTTGCTGCCGAACGGGTCTATAACTCCATCCTGCAGGTATTTCAGTCTTTCCTTGATTCTCCTCAGCCTTCCAGCCCTAACATTGGCAATGCGCAATAGCAAAGGGCAACAGCTGACATCAATATTAGCCTTGAGCTGCTTCTCCATAATATCAGCCCGATGATCGATGCCGAGCTTACCGACGATCTCGATGCAAGGCTGATAGTAAAGAATAGGCATGATAAGTAGTCAATAGTGTTTTATACATACCATAACAAGGTAGCTGAAGAAGCCCAACTGTGAGCGTGGTAAATTGACTGCATCTCTGTCACAGAGTGGTGATATTGGAACTATAAGATAAGGAATATTGCTGATACACAGGCTAAGTGTGTGGGCGATACCGTTGAGTTCCTTCTCCTGATCTCCCTGTTTGAAGAACTCCTCCGTCAGTCGAAGGGACAGTTCATAATGCTGTTCCCATGGTAGACAGGTATGGCCAATATCAGCTGCCTACAACCACGAAGTACTCACCCAGTGCTATACGAAGTAGTTCACTTTGATGCAGGCTTTAAGGATAAGTAGGCGTTCAGCAAAATTCATAGGATCTTCAACCGCAACCCTGAGTAGAAGGATGAGTGGTAGTTCTATGTCACAATGGAAGGAACATCTGCAGGATCAGCAGTACAGGTCTAATACCTAAACTCTGAATCTCGCAGAACCAGCCGAAAGTCCGTTAGTAAAGCAAAATGTTTAGCCATATCTGTTGCAAGGATGAGCTCGATAACCAAAGACCTGAAGACTGCCCAGTCGGGCGGAGAGGGGGGACCTGCTAGTCAGACTAACAGGACCAACCTGAAGCGCTTCCGCTCTTCTCGGGTGAAGTTTTCTAGTATGTTACACTCTGGGAAGTCTACCATAAGTTCGAACGTTGTGGCCACATGAAACTGCTCTAGAACTGATCTATCATTATATCTACCGAGAACGGCACAAACTTGTCCGAAGTGAGACGTAACCATGAGATGGTACCTCAGAGCTAGGCGGTCGTTTGTTTCCACATAGAATCCGTTATTCTTACCACTGTGACCAACATCATGGCATATACAGGCCACCAAGAAGGCTGTATGATCCAAGGCACTCACTGGCATCCCTGTTGCGTGGAGGAGGTATTCTCCATGTGATGTGACCTGCGTTTAAGAGTAGCTGCTGATGAGGATGACGCGCTGCCTACGCTACCTGGGCTGCATGCAATTGATTATGGTACTCGACCTCAGTGTAGATGTCCGCTATTCGAGTCACAAAACGCCTGAGTATATCCCGCTCTATTTTGAGGGCGTCAAAAATTAGTACAGGTACCAACTAACAAGAGTTCGTTGTCAACGATGTCTGATTGATACCGTTGTATAACCTGGCTGCCTATCAATGGTAGAACAGGCATGTTGGGTAGATGGATCTCTTGCAGCTCGATAAGGTTCAAGTTGAAATCACTTCCAACAGCCTAATCACAACGACTCTCTGGTGACTATAGACAAAAGGAATATATCCTGTGCCTGTTCTCTCATTATTCTCGAAAATAGGCGTAAGGTAGAAAACATGAGGGAAAATGTCCCCAATAATCCGCAACCTCCTGCGGCCTAATGGGGCTGCTCTATGTTTACACTGTGTAAGTTACACAGAGTCTATCGGTATCATACCGGCGGGATGTCACGAGCCTTGCTCCATGACAGCGGCAAATGACAGCATTCTTCGATGTGCGCCGTGAGCAATGCCCACCGTCCCGGCGCGTTAGACGCACACACAAGCGAGTGGATTTCTATTTTTCTTTCCAACCGAGTATGAAATGAGAAAGAACGGAACTACGAGCCAGCTTTCTGGCAAAGAGCAAGCAGGGTTTGGTTGTTGCACTCACTAATAGCACGACGACCCACCTGGAGCATCTCACAAGCCTCTGGAGGTATGTGTCCCACATAGGTGGGGGGTGTAGGGTTTAGTGTGACTGAGGGAAAATCAACTACTATAATACATCCTCACCATGACCACACCATTCAAAAAACTATTGACCAAGTGGCGCCACTAATGCTGAGGATTCCAAAAAGGCCAGCAAGGAAAGTGATGGGTTTGAATAAAGAGCATCATGTTAGAGGTTAAGGCCCTCAGTTCAGCGAAACGCTTCAGATAGGGATTTCAATTTCGCGAATGCGGACACCAATTCTGGAGGAGAATCTTGACATGGCACCTTGCCTGTCCTCGTCTGACGCCAACCGCTGAGCTCATTTCCCTACTACACCATTTCCCGGTCTATTCCAAGAATGGTCACTTGTTCATATGTTGCCGTTTCAATTTCTGATGATCGATACTTTCCGCTGCCGTTTCACACTTTTCCATTTCAATTTCATCAGACTTGGCCGAAGAGCCTCCACGAGCGACCTGTAGCTCGGGCAACACGATGTAGTCTACATCCTGTTGTGTGACCAAGGTGGAGGACTCGCAAATGGAGGATATTCAAACAGGTGCGTGGGCGAGTGAAGACTGTTCACAATGTTTCTCATTACTGTCACATATTGTGACACGTGTGAGTCACATGTGGCACAACTGGCCTCGTATTCAATGGGCGCACCACCAGTTATTCATAACAAACAGGTTGATTTATCTGGCTCCGAAGTCGACTTGGAGAAGATTGAAATTGAAATAGAAGAATGTGAAACGGAAGCGGGAAAAATCGATCAACAGAAACTGAAATGGCAATATACTCATCCTATCATAGGATGAACAGAAGCATACGCATGAAGGATTCACCATGATTGGACAGCCTACCTTTGGCGCCCGTCATCAACGTCCACTCTTGCTCGAGCTCATTAGGGGTTGAGTCCTGGTTAAGTATCTTCGGTAAAGTCCCACTGATAGGGAGGGTGAATGCGCATAATCCTACGTGATTAATATATTCTATGAAGTCGCGTCGAGCTTCTTGACGTTCTTCAGTACTGCTCTCGTCATCTTCAAATACCTCCCAAAGGAACGTGCAATGACAATGAGTTCCATCATTCAATGACGATCATTAACGGCTCATCAATACTCACCACTCTATCGAAGTTCGTCCTTCTCGAAAGTATTTTGACTGAATCCCTAATGCGTGAGGTAGCCTGATAGACTCACCTCCAGCACATTCAAGGTAGTAATTACACGCACCCATAATATCTGCTCGGTGTATTCGGTACTTCTAACTGAGATATTTGATACAATGTTATCAACATCCGATAATTCCTGGGTCATCGAAGCAGATAGTTCATTCACTTGTGAGCCTCGACCTGATATTGACACGTTCTACTACGTTAAGCACACGGCTACTTCCGTAGTCTTCAAGAAGCTTTAGTGCTGCTTCAATATCGGTGAATGCCTTCTCATAAGTGGTTGTAAGTCCAATTCTAGCAGTATTCATATCTCTAACTGTGTACTCGAGCAGCTGGAGTATCAAGTCCGCGGTACCACTGATAAAAGTGACGTTACCTTAGAATTACGAGCCTCGATGTTGGAGGCAATGAAATGCTGACGGGTAACTTTTTCCAAGTTCATTTTCCCTGACGAAATAGAACAGCGGTTACCATCCCTGAGTGACGGTCCCCCTCTACTAAGTTATATGCACTACCAGACATAACCATGCAGACCAGGATGAGCAGCATAATGAAGTGAGGAAGTTGGTTTTCTCCGTTCGGTCCCCCGAGTATCAGGCTAGTACCACCATATCTGAAATGTCTCATCTCACTGAAAGATGCCATAACATTATCATGATGACTGACGATAGGCAGATAGTGACAGCTAGTGGTAACAATAACCTTGCACGAGTTGGAGTCAGAATACAGAGGTATCTACAGTTAACAGTGAGAGGCTATTGTGATAATGATGAGGTAGAGTGAGAGCTGTACGTAAGGATTCCATGTAGTAGGAGA